TTTCTATTTCTTGTTTTTTAGACATTTTAGAATATGTCGTACCATTAATCTATGCATCAACTCTGTTCAATTTTGTATATCAAAATTATGAATTGTGATCGGTTAATCACAATATGCATCAAAAAATGCATCAATCAGAATTGAACAGGCCTAATAAAGGAGGCGTGACACTGGGTGACAAATAGTTCATCACGTGGGGGTGGAAGCTTTGAGTCACATGATAAATCAATATCAATATATATATACTGATGAATTACACAAAAAAAAAACAGATGTAGATGCTTCGCGCAAAGAATGGGAACTATTTGTAAAGATTTTAGAGAAGCCTGACGTGTCCAACTGCCTTCTCGAATATTTATGTAGCTTAAATTGTGGCACTCTTAAAGTTCGCAAAAAAAAAGCATACATAGAAATTGGATCAACGCTATCAACGAAATCTTAAAAAACATTTTTCAATACCTATTCAAAGCTTGCGAAGAAAAGCGTCGACAACTTTAAGGTCGTGATAATTTTATTTAAGGGTAATTTTTTGCACAGGATTGAGCAGTAAGTTTGAACACTCCATCTACATCCATCCTCAGTTTTGGATGCAGGTCAAGATCCTCTGTTTTCAGAGAGAATTACCAGCGGAAAGGCATGAAGCCACTGTGATCCTCTGTTTTTACGTGTGATAGAATCCTCTGTTTTTTGCTCACATTTTTCAGGGTTCCTTCTTCTATTGAGCCATCCTCTGTTTTGGCACCATAGTTTATTTGAGTCCCTTGCTCAATCCTATTACTCCCGTTAGATTGTTTTAAAATTCAGATTTATTAACTTTCTCTTCTAATAGAAAGAACAGAAGTCATGGGCCATGGTCAGCTTTTAGGAAGAGATCAGTGATCGGCAGAAGAAATGTGAGCTCGGCAATACACTGTTTTCTATGCACTTCGAAGGGTGAACACTTTCTATATATTATGCATTATAATAAATAAGATCTTCTCTTAAAATATATCCTATTTTTTCGTTTAGGTCCAAAAGAGAAATAATCTGATTCGACTAGATTATTCAGATGATTCGCACGCATAGGATTATAATAGTGAGGAAAGCACCATAAAGTAAGTATTGAGATTTTTTATCGCTTGTCCAATTGACCTTCAATTCACATTTATTCCATTCTTTTATATAGAGAAAATTATGCCTATATCATTGATTTGGATAATATATCGGAACAAACTAAACCTGCATTCTGCTCAATTGACGCCTGGAAAACTATCATTTCCTCCTCAAATATATCAACAAGTCTACCTTCTTCTATAGAGGAACAAATTGACAATTATTTAAAAGATATCAGTATTAAACAAATATGAGAATCAATTAATTCTTATAAAACAGACGAAACTGATGAAGAAAAATATACACATAAAGTCTTTGATCATTTGTAAGTGCTGTTAGTATTATGCTGTATGAATAACTGAATTTATCTTACTAATAATATTGAAATGACAGTATTTTCTGTCTTGAAAATCGACCTGAATACTTCGCACAATGACCAACCACTGAGAGAACATTCCGAGCAAGGTTTATAGAACTAATTATGGAACCATTTATTTTTGTCCGAAGCATAGCAGAGGACACTTTACTACTATGACATTCAAATGCAAGGTCATTCTGTCCGTCCAAATTTGGCAAGCCTGATAACCAATGACATTTTGTTTACATTATCACGTGTTATGTCTTTTGTGTTACAAAATAATTAATCATATGAAATATGATATTATAATTTATATACCATACCATGCTTCAGACTTTGAACGGATCCCATTCCCTAGTTATATTCAAGGAACTCATGGATTTAAATTGGTAAGTGAACTACCTTTTTTGATGGATTCCCTGCGTAATTAACTGTTTGATACCTTTTTGGCTTACCAATGAGAATATTGTAGGGGAGAGATTTCAAGTTTATCTTCAACTACCCGTCGAAACTTTAATCTATCAGAAGGAAAAAGATGATGGATCGAATCTAAGTCAGATTGTATTAGGTCTATTGTAAATGCTGATGACAAAGAACTTCTAATATTTGAATTGTCCAGAGCCCCTACTTGTCTTCCAACCAGACATCCAGAAGGAGATAAGGTCAAACTTGATCGGTGTATGATAGATGTTCTTAACAACCTTCTTGAAGAATATAAAACATGTGAATTTACACTGGCTAAGGAATTCAAGGTATTTGGGTTTCAAATAAAAGGTAAAACTTTACTCCTTATTTTTGCGCACTTTGTTCTAATGATGTTTATTTTAATCCTTTGGAATTTAACTCACAATTTATGTTGTTTATAGGCTATAATTGTTTGATCTCTGAAGTATATATAGTTGATCGTGGACTTTATTGCCAGAGAACATTATCCCAATTCACGTTACCAAGCAGAGTACTTGATTTATACTATTTATATGATCTCCTCAGATCCATGTTTTGCTTTTGAGACGAGTTAATCAAATCATTAGGTGTTTTGCAAAGACTTAAAATAGCAAAGGCTCGCAAGCCTGATCCTATTGATCCAGTCAGTTCTTATATATTGCGTTTACCACCTTCATAAGCTGTGATAAAAATGGCATGTTTTAATCATTGATTGTATGTACCTGGGTTTTTTATTTATTCACGATTAATACAAATAGTCTCGCAATACAAAACTAATAAGCTAATGAAAAGTAAAGTATTTATAATTCCGATGCTATTGTATTACTCATTAACACATGAAGATCACATGATTATTGTGTCGCTTGTCAATATTAATAAAGCTTTGTCTACATTTCAGGCATGTGGATGCTGTATCGAAAAATAAAAAAATGTTTATATGCCATTTCGTAAACTTTTTCCTGAATTACAAAAAAAAAATTACATTTTGTTAAGGTTTATTTTTATGTGAATTCGAAAATTTTGAATAAATCAGTACCTTGTATAAAACAAAAAAGAAAATTTCACGTGACATGCTTATTGTATTTTAATTTAAAAAGGTAAAAATATTCATTTTTATTTTTTTTTAAATTAGAGAATATCCACCTCCTGAAAAATAATTTCATTTTGGAAGAATATTTTTTAATATTTGACAATAGTACTAATAAAGGTTATCTTAAAATAAATATTTTGTAATCTTTAATGTTATACATAAGCTGAACATTCACACATCCAGATGATCCTTATCTTAAATTGATTTTATTCAAATTAAATAAATATTTAACGTTTCTATTTTGATATTTGAATATATAGGGCCTTAGCAATAGAAAAAAGGGAAACTGCCAGAAGAATCAATTTTACTTTTATATACCAAATATGATTTTTAGGTCAAAATATGTTCAAATTTAGCATTAACTCATTTTTTATTTTTCTGGCAGTTTCTCCCCTTTCTATTGCAAAAGTCTCCCCCATATGGTCAAAAATCATTTTAATACTTTTTAAAAATTTTTAATAAAAGAAAAATGGACTTTGAGATTGATAATTTTCATAATACTTCTAAGTTGCTAGTCCTAAATTATAGAATTCTAAATAAATTTTTTATTCATTTTAATAATATATTATTACTAAAGATGCTTGCCAAAACTCTCTCAAAATAATTTCGTCATATTTCTTGCTATGTTTTTAATATAGTTTTGGTTAATTTCAGGTTTTGGGTTTCATCATATCCCTTATTATGTTCTAATATAATTTCAGCTGTTTATTAATTGCTTTTTTTGAGTTTCATCTCTCATCTTTAATTATTACTAAAAAAAAAGTATAATACCAATTAAAATCTTTAACTTCTTTATCAATATCGATAGGAATGAAATTAGAAATAAAAATTTGACTAGCTTAAAATCTATTTTTGAAATAATAATTAGAATTTTTTTTATATTTGGTAATGTTATAATACCTATTATTTTCTAATATAATAAATCTATCCTCGATATATTTACTCAATTGCTTTACTTCAAAATATTTTTTAAATAAAAGATATTTTTTATTTTACAATTAAACTTAATATTTAAAAGTTTAATATTTTAAAATGATAATATTCCATTTTCATCTAATATGAAAATTTTTCTTGTAATAGAAATGCTAATAATTATGTTTATAACTGATCATGATTGTAATTAATTTTGATCAGTCAAATATTTCTAACTGACCAATTAATTGACTGATTTTGCGTATCAGTTAATCAAACATTTTTAATTAGTAAACTAAAAATTCTTTGCATTTAATTATTAATCATTTTAGTAATGTTATTTTTTTTATAAATAAAAAAATTTCATGATAATACTCACTAAATATGAAAGTAAACTTAATATGCATATCAAATTAGTTTAAAAGAAATAAGTAAAATATATAAAAATAGAAATTTTATTAAATGTTATGTTAGTATTATTTAAACATAAACTAAAAATATTAATCAAAATTAAACTCATTAACTATAAATTAACAGAAATAATATTTGTTAACAAAATCTTAAAAAAGAGACAATTTTTTTGGTTAAGTACATTTGAATATATGCATGCATTCAATAATATTGGATATGATACCAATTTAAACAAAAAAGATCTTTAGATTTTTTTTAAGATATGTCTAAAACTTATAATTACGTAATCTTTAACCAAAAACTTTAAATTATATTATTATTAAATAGACATATTAACCAATCAGTAAAATTAGTTGAGCAATTATGACTGGTCATTACCATTCTTATTTATGATATTGCAATAAAAAAAAATTGTAATATTTTGGATTAGGAAATAATAAATATTTTTCAACTGTTTCACATTATTTTTTTCCATTATGTGCTATTAATTAAGTTAAAATTTTGTTATATTTTACAGCTTGCTGGCATGTATATTATTATGCATAAATATCACTTATATATTTTAGGTTAATTTTATGAAATATTGATAAAGAAAAGATAATCATAAAGGAATAAGATAAAACCCATTTTTTTATTAAAAAAAATCCACCAATTATCTATAATGAAGTTCTAGTATAATAGTATCAGTTATAATAAGTTTTCCTATAGTTATTTGGATATTTTTTTTGCTATTTCTTGAAGAAACAGAGATTTTAAATGGAATTTTTTTATTAATTAAATTAGTATTGCATTTTATTATATAAATTCTATTATTTATATATGATTCAGCAATTAAATATTTATTTTATGATTATATATAGAATAGTTTTTTTTATAATAAATGCAATTTATAATCACTTTATTTTTATAAATAATAAATTAAAATTTATTTCTTAATTGTTTTGCCTTTAAATATTAAGATAATTTTTTTTTAATTAGATAAAATTTAGAGTTTATTCAAATGTTTAAATAATAATGATAAAACTTAGTGATTTTATTAAAAAATTTGTGAAATTTAGAAAAAGATAAAACTATATCAAAGCTTATAAAATAGCGAAACTATATCAAATACTTAGTAAAAATTTGATAAAACTAAAGTTTTAAATGTTTAGTCAAATCTAAATAAGTACAGTCAGATCTTTATATACAGATATTCTATATACTGATAAAATTTTATTTATCCACTATACTTGAGATCATATAAATATCAGTATAATTTGATATAACGATATTTTTTAAAAAACTTCTATATATCCTGACATATCATTATATAGAGGTTTGATTGTATAGGCAAGCAACTTTAATTATGATAATTCTAATTATATATTTATAATATTCTAAGAAAATCAAAAAAATGCTATTTTTTAATATAAAAAGCTTAGAATTATTATAAGTGAATTTCTTTCTTAACTTTATTTTATTTAATGATTTTAAAGAAAATATAAGTATAGATACAACCTAAAGTATTTTGACATGATAGTAATTATTGGAATTTTGAATGAATCAAACTAAATTTTAAGTCAAATGAGTTAAGTTGAATAAAATCAAATATTAACTTGTTTAACTTGAGTTAAATTTTAAGTTAAGTTTGCTAAACTTAAGTCAAAGTTAAGCAAAAACTGAGTTTATAGTTAAATCTATCACTAGTCAAAATAATTCATTTCATCACTTTTTTAAAGTATCAAATATTGATTGAAATATAATCTAATTTTTACTGATTATTGCCAAAAAAATCAGTATTTGAATTATAGCTGAAATTACTTAATAAATTGCCACTTAATAAAAAATCATCTTTTAATGATTAATAATTGTTTGATATTACTAGAAAAATAATACAATATATCAAATTTTAAAGTGCTGAAAGCTAACTGAAATATAATCTAATTTTTATTGATCATTACCAAATAGATCAGTATTTTGAATAAATAGAAAATCAGCTATTAATCAACATTAATATTAAAATTGGTTTAAAATTAGCATAAAGCAACTTAAAATCGTTTAACAATCAGCTTAAAAACAGCTAAAAATTAATTAATCAATTATTTGCAAAATTAAAACTAATAAAACTTATTTTTTGTTTATTTATTATTGATAATTTATTTTATTATAATAAATTACTCAAAAAGAATATTTTGTAATAATTTTATTTAAGAAAAGATCCATTTAATTTTTTTAAAGGTAATTGAAAATCACAAAAAAATTACCTCTGTTTACTTACCTTAATGATTTCCTAAAAAAAGTAAAAAAAAAATGAAGAAAATAATTAAAGACTATCATAAAACTATCTCTGATTTGTTTATCTTAAGAAAAAAATTAAAAAAGTTAAAAAATAACAAAAAACCACCTTCAATTTACTTATCTTAATATATTTCTAAAGAAATTAAAGAAAAAAATAATACGTATACTTTAAGTCCTATATAGTGTTATGATACTAATTGATTAAAAAAGAAATATTATGTTTTTTCTTTACTGTGTTAGCAATCAACCTAAATGATAAACTATTAACATAGGCTACTAGTCAAAATTCCCTATTTTGCACATGTTATCAAAAGTAGAAAATGGTGAATTATTTTGACTGAATTGTATGAGTATGACATGAAGTTTTTAGGATAGAAATTTTTCTGATTTACATAATAAAATTAGCTGCAACAATATTCATTTAATAAAATTGACTTCAGAAGTACTGAATATTAACCTTTTCTATAAGAAATCGAAATAAGGAAATGATACGTTTTTTATAAGGTTTGTATATGTAATTGATGATTCTGTATCATAATTCTGTATATTTTATAATGATTTATTTTTTTATAATTTTTTAGAAAATCGATGTATACAGAATTATTAAGGAATTTGAAATAACATATAAATTTTACGTAAAATAAAAAAATAACAAAATATAATAACAATATTATACATCTAATTGAATTTTTTAATGCAAGTAATATCAAAT